TGTGATCAATCCATCCTTACTAGAAATACATAAAACGACAAACTGAATTCCCCTCTCTTTCTCTTTGAAAACGTCTTCCTTTTCCCTACCAATGCAGAGTGGACAGATTAAGAAGGCAGAGGAGAAGAGATATGGAAGTGTGTGTTCTTGAAGACGCACACAGACCGAGGGAGAATACATTTGAAAGTGCAGTGAGGAACAGAGACACGCACATGTAGGGATGGAAATAGACAGGAACAGGAAGGGAAGCAGAATACACCTATTTAATTTTTTTATTCTCATGAGACGAGTGGACAATAATAACAGCAAAATGAATTTTTATTTATTTGTTCAAATATTTAATTGATTCAAAAATAAAGCTAATAATGTCTCTTGCTTAGAAACAATGCATTAAGGATCTGTACCTGCATATTCTATCCTGCCCACTGAAATGGTTTTTTCTGCCTCTTTTGGTCAAGATTGCTCTGAAATTACTAATCCACCTAGGATATGAGATTCATGACTATATGGACGCTATCTCTATTTGTGACCACTGATCTCTGTGGTTCAGGACAGTGTCTTGTATTTTGTAGGTATTTAAGGTATATATTTTTGGCTAGCGCTGTGGTGAAGTCTGGTATTGGGTTGTGTCTGGTATTGGGTGGGGGGGGTGTCCTTGGTCTGCCAAGGCTGTAGAGCTGATCTGTGCAGCTGGTGGGTTGCTCCAAGGAGGTGCACTGCTGGCTTGCACCACGGTCCGCCTCACTGCCTTCTTTGGCAAGTCCTACCATGGGTGCCCCTTAACCAACCACCTTGCCCTAGGTGGCTACACCAACCAGCCCTTCTCCACATCGTGGCTGTTCACAAGTGTCCTAGAGGTAGCTGTTTTGTAGAGAAGTTGGGTTCCTATGATCCACTGGAGAAAACATTCACGGAGAAAAACTCATTGTCCCCAACCTGGACAGGATCTGGCATTGGATTGGCTTTGGGCCCACCTCTCTAAGCCTGTGGGAAAGCTTCTGGGTCTTCCTGGCTTTTTCCCTTTGCATCCAGTGATTATTACCCATGTTGACAGACTGCAAAGGAAATGGGCACAGGAAGTCCTTTCAGCTTCTTAGAAAACAGGGACAGAGGCTGTAGCAACCAACCAAAGCCAGCTGACTTCAGTGAGCGTAGCAGTGGAAACAAGGTCAAGGTTCTCTTCCAACCCTTGTGCAGAGATCTTAAAATTGTTCGATTTCAAGATCAAAAATGGAGTTGAGTAAAAAAAACAAAAATACACATACACACTTTTCTTTTGATGACCAAATGAAGGACCTCTTTTTTGCCAAATCTAAAGACCTCACTTACAGATCTCAGATTGGGAAAGCGTGAAAGTGGCACAGGCTAAGAGGCAGTCGAAGGAGGGAAGGATGCTTCCATAGCTAGGCTTGCAGTCTAGATTATTTGAAATGGATAAGACTAGAACCCTCAGAATGAGGTATGTGGATGACAGTCTCAGAGTAGCTAGGATGTGGCCAGTTAATGCCAGACCCAAGCCCATGAAAGCCAGCATGGCACAAAGCCTGCAATTAACTTTTTACATAGTCTTTGAAAAGATCTACTTCTGAGGCATAAAATGTGTAAAAGTCTGGTTTGTTTTAATGTGTGGTTAGACTGTCTGGTGAAAGTACAAGTTTTAAATTCTTTATCATTGCAAAGGAGAACTGCACCTGCTAATCAAACTCAGTAATAATTAATCAAAATAACAGGGCATTTTTATTCGGAAAGTCTTGGTGGGTATGGAAAGTTAATGGACTTTCTCTTCTCTGCAGTGCCTCTTTCCTCATGCTGTCTGCAAGGGTCTGGCATACAGAGGGCAAGAATCATCCTTAATAAGTATGAGCTAGTTTCAGGGAATATACTGTTCAAGATGTAAAAGTGTCATTTCTTGATATTACTTGGTTTTATACAGGTTAAAAAGCTTTAAGCTTTTAATCTTGTCCTTCTGTTGGTCTATCCTCAGTGCCCAAAATAGAGCCTACAGCAGAAGAGATGCCTAATAAAATGTGCTGAGAGTGATCGCATGGTTCTACAGCTCTGAGCCTTGGTGCTAAGTCTATTTTGGCTAATTTGCTCCACTGCCATTCAAGATCTAGGATGAGTTCTTTCTTTGAATTGCCTACATCCCAAGGAAAGTTAGGTGATTTCCAGTTTAGCCCAACTATACTGCATAGGGTTATAGAATTAATTTTTTTCCAAAAGGAAAACTGCCTTAATGTTTATTTAAAAATATGAATATATGATCTTTGTAAAAATAATTAGACAATATCAAAATCAAAAGGGAATTAAAAATGACCACTGATCCCCTAGAGAACACACCCAATACCATTTTAGAGGAGGAAGCCAAGGTCTAGAGCCAAAGGAAGAGGGACTTGCCCAGGGTCTCATGTGCTCTTTGTCTTCAGATCAAAACCACGATTTGAGAGGGCCCTTGATTTCTGGTTCTGGCCATCTGTTTCCTGCACACGCCCTGCGCTTTCCCATTAAAGTTGGCTGGACCAGAAATCCAGACTTTCACTATTCCAGTAAATGATCAGATTTTATAAAATCCTGAATGGTGCATATGGATTTACCTACTTTCAAAAAAACTAAATGGGAAGATTCACCTTGAAATTTGAGAAAAATAAAATTAAGCACAAATATGAGGAAATACTTAAGCTCTTTTCTCTCTTAACATGAAAAAAAGAGAAAGAAAAGAAGGAAAGAGAAAGGAGAGAAAAGAAAGACATGAAAGCAAAGCAAAGGAAGCAGATGGAATCTGATATTCTAAGGGAAATAATACAGACAAAAATGTATGGTCAATGAGGTTAGGATTAATTTGTACACATTTATTTGAGGTTATTAAAGGTAGCTAACTAACCTGTACTAACTGTGTATTTTAGGTCTGACATTAAAGGAAGAAAACTCCCTTCATACAAAATAAAGAACGAGAAGGAACAAACTAGGTGGCTGTGTGGTCAATTCTTGGGCAAAGATCTAATCTGAAGAAAGCTGGTTTACTCACAGCAATCACAGTACGGCTCTCACCCCAACAAGGTCATTCCCCTCACATTGATTCCCTGAACCCCTGTCCATGGAGATAGTGAAGAAGCTGAAGCTGGTGATGCCCAATATCCGTGTCCTCATTCCTGCTGCAGGGCCCCTGGACTCTGGCCTGACCCCTTTTTGGTCCTGCTATAGTTTGCTTTCCTCACATGCTCAGAGGCACTTAAGGGCAGAAACCATGTCTGGTTACTTGTTATCATTTTTCCCATCCCCAGCATGGACACTTAAGCCCGGTTGGTGCTTAATAAATGTCTGTTGGATGCAGACACACTGTGGACTAGCACTGGAAAGGATGGGAGGAGTGCCTCGCTGGGCCTAGTCGTGGCAGGCAACCAGGCTTGGATGGCCACTCAATACTGGTGCCCCACACTCCCTCTGGCTCTCCCCCAGTCTCTCTGATATTTTGTCTCTTTTAATGGTTTCCTTTATGTCCTTAAGATCGCTCACTTTTTCTGCATTTACTTTCTTGGGAATATATCACTTCACCTTTTGCACTATCACCAACATACTGAACGTGCCCCAGTTCGTTTCTCTAATACTATTTCCTCTTCCTGTTAGAGAAAAGAGTGAGATTTTCTATCTCCAGGTGCCTGCAGGAAATCTCCATTTGGATGTTGTTTCTACCCGAAATTAATCACAGCTCTTGTGGCCACCAAAGAATGAAATCCTTCCCCGATTTCCCTGTGTGTTGTTTCTTACTACTTCAGCTAGTGATAAACAGCTGATGATGATGATGATGACAACCATAATAATAGTGATCATTTGTAAAAAGCCCTTGATGTGCCAGGTACTGGGCTAAGCTCTTTGTGTAATTTAGTAATCTGCACAACAACTATACAAGCTGGGTAGATGTTAAGACTACTTTGTAAATAAGGCCACCATGGCTTAGAGAGAAGTCACCTGCTCATGGCCACACCGCTCATGCAGGGCAGAGTAGGACCGGAACCCACAGAAGACTGGTGCCATTCACAGTGCCATGGGTATGTGCACAGACATTCTATGAATGGCAGCCAACTCTGGTCAAGTTTCTCAAGGGCAGTAATTTTATCTTCTTCTTTTGTATTCTCCATACAAATAAGTTGAACATTCAGACCGATATTCTTTGTGATCGGTGTATGTTTCCAGTTTTCTACTGCAGGCTTGCTAAGGGATCACCTTGCCACTATCTTTTTAACTGTGTATTGGGATTCCAGGCAGGCAAAATTGATTTGATTTTAAGATCTTTGTTTAAAATTTCTCTCCTTGTGAATGTCTACTCTGCTTTCTCAAAAGATTTAAACCACATTAAATGCCACTTTCCCTTGCTCTGAGGTTTAAAAATATTTAAATATGCATTTATGCTGTGCGTTCTATACACTGATGCTTTCTCTCCCCAAACTATGGTCAAAGCCACCACTACAGAGGCCTCACACAACCAAACATTTTCCCACTACACGCAGGGTCCAGCAGTAACACAGTCCACTGACAATTAACCTGTTCTATATACATCACTACATTTAGATGCTTTTCTAATAAGAATAAAAATTTGCCACGTGATTTCTCTGGGGCTTTTGGCTTTTACTTTTTTAGATCAAAGACTCTCATGTCCTACATGGTTCAAATATTCAATATTTGGCAGTCATCTGTCATTTCCATACTGTATGTACCTTTTGAACCTTTATTTACACATCACCTTTGTCATTTAAAAATTCCAACATGAAAGGTCTTGATTAAATGTAACTTTTTGGCTCTTCTCAAATCTTTTCCTTGATGCTTATCTGTTTGTTTTCCTTTTTGTAATGCAGGATTTAGAGTTTGAACAGAAAAATGCCTACTTTTTCAAGCAGTTAAGGGTGCAATATGGCCACACTGCACGTTCAGAGGGATGGGCTTCGAGGCTGGAAACCAATATTGTTAATAATGGGACACAGGCATTTTTCAACCGGGATCCTTACCTTTCTGCTTCGAGTCGCATCTCCTCTCTCTTTTGCCTCCTAAGTTCTCTGCGACGTTCAAAATCATCCATGGTGCAGTTTCAGGTTTAGGAAGACCAGGTAGTGTCTGGATCTGAAGGGGAGAAGGTAGGGTCAAGGTCATAGGTGACTCAGAGAACTGCCTCTCATGAATTGCTCCCCGTCCCCACTTTTTCATCCTCCCTATTTCTTCTTTACTCTTAATAAAAATACCTTAGAACGTTGATAAGGTGGCCAGTGATCCATTTGTGACTCCTCAGCGGAGTTAAATTTAGGCTCATTCATGAAATAATTAGAGATAAATAAGTTCAAGATCCCAGGATTACATTTTAAAAAAGAAAAAAAGGAAAAGAAGATCTCAGGAGACAGACAGGGTTTTGAAGCTTTGAAATACTGGCAGAATCACTTGGGATTTTACTGAATGATTTTGTTCTTCATAACTCGCTGAACTCCAGACAAAAATAATGAAAACGTGGACAAAGAAAGAGGAGAAAAACAGCCGAGCGATAAACGCAAAAAGGAAAGTGGCAAAGAAAGGAGTACGTAGGAACGAAGGAAAAAGTAAAAGAGAAATAAAGTAATGCATTATCTAAGCACACAACGTGCATATTCTAAAGGGAGCCTCAGAACGTTATTAAAGACCCTGCAATAACATCGCAAACAAACATCCTGAAGCAACATTTTATAAAGACAGTTAAGTTGTAATCAAGCAGTTTTCAGAGCTCAAAAATCCCAGCTCTTTTTGCAGATGGAATCCAACCGTTTTACCCTTTCCTACCTCCTCCGTGATGGTTTTAATTCCGGAAAGATCTTCCCCTTCCAGCTTTTCAGCTGAGGAGCCAGCTTCCCTTGCCTTTCTGGGCCATGGAGTCAAGTATTCCAGAATTCCCCTGCAGCCCCCAAACCCAAAATGACTACCAGAAAAGGGGAAGCTGGCTCTTTTTGTCCTTGCTTTGTTTACAGAGCTGTCAGTGGTTAGTTAAACTCGGCCTGGAATCTGGCATTTAAGGCCTGCTTGAAGATTGTTTCCTGTGCGGAACGGGAGGCCTCCACTTCCTCTGGAATCCTAGACTCTCTGCTGCACTCGGATCACAAAAATATTTTCCAGCCTTTTCTGTGCACACGAGACAAGCCATTTGCCCTGTGTGAGAAAATAAGGAGCTGTACAAAACCTAAAGCCATCACACCTGGTGGCATCTTTCTTTGAGGGAGCAAAAAATGCAAAACTTAGATTCTGGAAGCCAAATTCAGAAACTTTCTTAACTAGTCAAATTCTTTTATTTGTAAGGGTGTTTTTCCCCCTGTTAAAAAAAAAAAAAATCCCACAAAAACAAAAATAAAACCTCAGCCAACAAAAACAAAACTATATGATGTTTGAAATTTTTCCCCCTTTCTTTATCCTCTAGGGTATTATTAATCCTGCTTATAAATCTTTAGAAATTCAAATCTTGGTGTTTATTCAGGACTTAAATTTTTTTTTTTTTTTTTTTTGGAGACAGAGTCTTAAGCTGCCACCCCTGGTAGAGTGCCATGGTGTCACAGCTCACAGCAAACTCAAAGTCTTGGGTTTAAAGTGATTCTCTTGCTTCAGCCTCCCAAGTAGCTGGGACTACAGATGCCGACCACAACACCCGGCTATTTTTTGGTTGTAGTTGTCATTGTTGTCTGGCAGGCCGGGACTGGATTTAAACCCTCCAGCTCCAGTGTATGTGGCTGGCGCCCCAGCTGCTGAGCTACAGGCGCTGAGCCCAGGGCTTAAATTTTTTGATCTGTTTTTCTATCTTACACTTAGCAAGAGTTCTTCCTTGGGCTTTGCTAGTTATGAAGGAAACAACCAGTTTTTTCCTCTTATTTCATCAACAACAAAGAAATTTCTCTACATTTTCCAGTCTAATATCTCCATAATTATCAGAATAAAAAAAGTAATTGGAGGGCCCCCTAAGAGGCCATCTGGGGGTCTTGCTTCCAGGGGTGGGCTCCGTGTGCAGGAGGGTCCAAACTTGGGTGCCTGAACACTAGGTACAGGGAGAAAGCAGACTTTTCTCTCCCCTCAGCAAGGTCTTTTGTTGCCTAGAACCCCCTCTTGAATTAACCATAGCAACGCTAAACAGAAATGAAAGAGCCAGGTCTGTCTGTGTGCTAACAATTTTACTTTTCATATCCAAGGAGCTTGGAGAGCATCCCCTAAGCCTCTGGTTCTCCCTCCTACCTCATCAAAGTGAAGGAGTCATTCTGGCAGCCTGTCAGCAAGCAACAGGGGTTCTCAGCCTGTATCTCTGGTGGAGGTGCTAATGAGCAGTGAAATAAATATCTCCAACAGACCCAAGAAGCACATGGTTTGCAGAGCCCGGCAGGCAGGAAACACAGCTGATCAACATTGTGTGGTCACTTTGGTGGCTGACCCTGACTGTCCTCACTGGCTGTGGACCCACGCACATTCTTTCTCTTCCATCCACTCCCTCCTTCACTCCTTACCTTTTATTACTTACTGGGGCACTTTTTATCTTTTCCAAACATAGAAAAACTAGGAAACACTTGAACTCTGCTGAGTATCCATGTGGGGGAACCCAGAGGGAGAGAGAAGAGGGTGAGAGTGTGAGCGTGCTGTTTCCTAGTCTCCACTGGGCAGAGCCTTTCTGGGTTATGGGTTGTGCCTTGGGTGGGTGGAGATGAGGACAGGAGGACGCAAAGGCACATGGTGTGGTGTGTGTGTCTTGTGTTGGGGAGGCTATATTAGTTTGCAGTCCCACCAACGGTGTGTACATGTGTGTGTATCCTGTACAGGGGAGAGGGGTTGGTGTGTGCTTGTGAAAACAATGGCTCTTGGCTGGTCTCAGCACAGCACAGCCTGGAGGGCTTCCTTCACTCTCACTCCTTATATCACAGAGCTTTTCTGAATGTCTCTGGCACTGTTCTTATGTAAGGGGAACCACGTCTGGGTAGAATTGTGTCCCCCTCCCCCACCCTGCTCCCCTTCTTTTGAGAGCAGTGGCTTCCATGTCCCCAGCCGGTAATCCCTCATTTCCGCCCCTACCCCCAGTCAGTGCTGAATTCTTTTCAGCAACATTGGTTAGGAAACAAACTCCCAACCAATGAAGGAATGAAATGTCAAGGCGGGGAGATTCCATAAATTATAAAGCTCCCAAGTGTCGCCACTAGACAGGGTAGCCTAAAAGAGCTATGTATGGATGTGTGTGATAGATGGGTTCTTGAAAATTTTTATGACAATCTTTTTTTGTGCTCAGATGGTGCTCATGCTATTGACAGGATTCTGATGTCACTCCTTTACTAAAATGGGCCCAAAAAGCCACCTTCACAAAGGCAAAGGCAGGTAAATCATCACCTGCTGATACATCTGTCTTTTCAATATGGGTTCTCACGCACTTTCTTACAATAGGGCACATCCATGGTGCCGTAATCAAGAAAGAGGTCAGTATACAGGTTTCAAACCACCCTTTTGGTAATGAAGCCACGGAGTCTGCAGCCCAGGTGATCAGCACAAGGTGACAAAAGGTGTGACCATCACTTTCTGGCTTCTAGAACTTTCTTCTTTTCCCTTTCCTTCTCCCTGTCTTCCTTTCCTTCTCTTCTTCCTTTCAAGGATAGATTATTTACTGACATTTCTTCTCACATTTCTTTTTTTATTTTTCTCTTTCTCTAGCACTTCTTCTTTTCCCTTCTCCATCTTCCTCCCCAAACTAGGAATTAAAATATATTTACATTTATTAAATCTAATTTATTATTCTTGTCCTTTAAAAAATTGATTTTAATTTCTGATGTGTCTTTCAATCAAGAAATCTACTATTATTTTTTAACTTCAGATTAACATGGGAGTACATACTATTAGGTTACATAGTTAGCTTTTTTTTTTTTAGATAGAATCTCACTTTGTCACCCTGGATAGAATACCATGGCATCATAGCTCACAGGAACCTCAACTCTTGGGTTTGAGCAATCCTCTTCCCTCAGCCTCCTGTGTAGCTACAGGCACCTGCCACAATGCCTGGCTATTTTTTTTGAGACTGGCTCTTGCTTTTGCTCGGGCTAGTTTTTCTATGTTTAGTAGAGATGGAGGCTTTATTTTGCTGAGGCTGGTCTTGAACTCCTGAGCTCAAACAGTACACACATCTCAGCCTCCCAAAGTGCTAAGATAACAGGCATGAGCCATGGCACCCGGCCCATAGTTTGCTTTCGTAAGGTTAAAGTCTGACTGTAGTTGTGCCCTTTACCCAGGAAATGTGCAATATGCCCATGGGCGGGAATTTACTCAACCTCTTCCCCTGATTGTCCTTGAGTTTGAGTTTTTCTCTCACATGAACATATAGTTGTTAATCTACTGGTCCCAAGTACGAACTGAGTACATGTGATGCTTGTTTTTTCATTCTTCTAATACTTTACTTAGGAGAATAGTCTCCAAATCCATCCTGGTTGTTAAAAGATATGAAATCTCCATATTTTTATGGCTGCATAGTATTCCATGGTATACAGTTTATTAATCCATCCACGTGTTGAAGGGCACCTGGGTTGTTTCCACATCTTCGAAATTCTGAATTGTGCTGCTCTAAACATTCAAGTGCAAATATCCTTATGGTAAAATGACTTTTTTTCTGATGGGCCATGCCTGTGGCTTAGTGGGTAGGGTGCTGGTCCCATATACCGAGGGTGACAGGTTCAAACTCAGCCCCAGCCAAACTGCAACAAAAAAATAGCCAGGTGCTGTGGCAGGCACCTGTAGTCCCAGCTGCTTGGGAGGCTGAGGCAAGAGAATTGCCTAAGCCCAGGAGTTGGAGGTTGCTGTGAGCTGTGATGCCACAGCACTCTACCGAGGGCGACAAGAAAAAAATCCTATTAATGGTATTACAAGATCAAATGGTACGTCTTCTTTATTTCTTTAAGGAATATCCATACTTCTTTGCACAGAGGCTGTACTAGTTTGTAGTCCCACCAACAGTGCACGAGTGCTCCCTTCTCTCTATACCTGCACCAGCACCTACTGTTTTGGGACCTTGTGATGTGGGCCATTCTCACAGGGATTAGGTGATATCTCAAGGTGGTTTTGATTTGCATTTCTCTGATGATTAGGGACAATGAGAA